CCCGGCCCTGGCCAAAACTGCAACAAAAAATAGCCAGGCATTGTGGCAGGAGCCTGTAGTCCTAACTACTTGGGAGGCAAGATAATTGCCTAAGTCCAGGAGCTGGAGGTTGCTGTGAGCTGTGATGCCACAGCACTCTACCGAAGGTGACAAAGTAAAACTGTCTCTAAAAAAAAAAAATGAAGCTCAGAAAACCCTAGCTTATGGAATGGTTGACTGACTAATAGATAAGGCAATAGTTATTGGCTAGAATTCTGAAATCCTAGAGCTTTCCTACATGAAAGAAAGATATTGAAACTCATCCCAATAGTTTTCCTTCTCCCCCGTGGCAATGCTCTTTACTTCTATTCTTTCCTATAAGCTCTCTGTTAGTGAGCAGAAGTGAGGAAGTCTCTGAAGAAAAATCCAAGGGGCACATACACATATATATAAAATAACTCTGTTGTAGAAATAACTCTGTTAAATAAACCACGATGATTTATTAAACTTGCAAAAAAAAAAAAAAATCCAAGGGGCAGGCTACTGATAGAACATTGGAGTAGCTCCCACTGCAGCTGGCCCAGAGGTATATTGCACCCAATGGCACCCAATGCCTACTAGAGGATTCACAGGATCTTCAGCCCAGAATTCCAGAGAGCAGCTTCCAGGGGGATATATCCATGAGAAGACTGGATGGGGAAACCAGTTCTGTACCCAATCTCCTCCACAACCCACATCCTCAGATGCATGTACATACATAGCCCAGCATTACCTGCTAAAATGAACTGCAGCTTAGAAGCATCAGGTATGGCAATGCGGTCAATGTACTCAGGATCCAAGTATTTGATTAGGTCTTCAACTGGAAAAGTAAAAAGATGGAAAAAGGAACTAATAGGGCCGGGGAATAGAGCTCTATCTTATGAAGGATGTTGGTGACCTTAGGAAGAGCCTTGAATGAGGAGCTGATACCTCACAATGGCCTATCAGCAGGACTTTGCCAGGTTCTCTATCCCCACTTGCCTGTCACTCCACTCTCTTCACTTGTTGGCTGACCTCAGGTTTCAGAGCTGGAAACACAATTGCTGCCACCACCCTGGGGCCCTCCCATTCTCAATGACCTATCCTCACCAAGAAAAGAAGGCCTTTTTTCCACTCAATGCCACCAAGACAAGTCAGTGCTTTGTCTGATTTCTAGTTCCTGAGCAGGTTACTAGCTCTGATATGATCAAAAAGGTTTGGCTGAACAAAGGCTAGAGCTCTCAGTTCTTAATTTCTTTCCTGCCATATAACCTTGCCTGGGGAAATCTCAAACCCTTTTAAAAGGAGTTTTCAGGCAAAGCTGTCATTCCATGACTTAGGACACTGTCACAACTTACCTCAGGATAAACCTGAGGTTTATCCATAAGGTAGAAAAGCACACCCAGGGCAGCGCCTGTGGCTCAGTGGGTAGGGCGCCGGCCCCATATACTGAGAGTGGCAGGTTCAAACCCAGCCCTGGCCAAACTGCAACAACAACAAAAAAAATAGTTGGGCATTGTGGTAGATGCCTGTAGTCCCAGCTACTCGGGAGGCCGAAGCAAGAGAATTGCCTAAGCTCAGGAATTGGAGGTTGCTGTGAGCTGTGACCCCACAGCACTCTATGAAGGGCAAGAAAGTGAGACTCTGTCTCAAAAAAAAAAAAAAAAAAGAAAGAAAAAGAAAGAAAGAAAGAAAAGAAAAGCACACTCCAATTCACCAATTGAATCTGATACAAGGAAATGTCTTCATATTTCTTCTATCCCCAAAGGGCTATTCAGTAACCTAATGAATTGAAAGGCCAGGGCCAGGTTGTAGGAAGCACAGGCATGGGAAGTAGTACAGGGAAGCACATCATGGAAGCACTTACTCTTTTTGTACAGAATCTTTACCCTTTCCCTTTTGTTGGCAATGTTCCCCAAAGCCACCTGCACCTTGACCAGGCCATCAGCCACCTGTAAGGGAAATGAGATTAATTCCAAGATGTACCACCAAACTCAAAGCTTGGAGGAAATAAAGAACCCTCATTCCCCAGACTCACAAACCTGAATCCTAGTAATCTAGATTGGTCCCCTTCTCTAATATTAGAGGAGATACAGCCCCATCTTCAGGGAATCCTTAATATGAAGTGTAGGGGGAGGGGGAGAAAGAGAGAGTCAGGTACTGCTTGAGAAGGTTCAAATTTTTTTTTTTTTTTTTTGCAGTTTTTGGCTGGGGCTGGGTTTGAACCAGCCACCTCCAGTATATGGGGCCAGCACCCTACTCCTTTGAGCCACAGGTGCCTGGGAGTTTCGAATTTAATTGGGGAGGTAGTGAACTATTTTAGAGTTTATGGAATGTATAGTATATATCATAATTTCTGGTTCCTAAGTCCCAGGCTTGGGCGTGAGAAATGCAAGCATCCTCATATAGGCCTGCATTACCTCATGAGTAATGAAGTAATGAAGGTCCTGGTACAGTAATGGATGACTGTACCAGGACCCAAACTGGCTGGCCTACCTCTAGTCTTATTCCTTCCACATCAACTCTAGGGTGGGAGATGGAAGAGTCTAAGATAACTAGTACCCCAGGTGGGGCATGGTGGCTCACACCTGCAGTCCTAGCACTCTGGGAGGCGAAGGCTTGAGCTCAGGAGTTCAAGACTAGCCTGAGCAAGAACAAGACCCTGTCTCTAAAAATAGCTGGGCACTGTGGTAGGCACCTGTAGTCCCAGCTACTAGGGAGGCTGAGGCAAGAGAATCGCTGGACTCCAAGAGTTCAAGGTTGCTGTGAGCTATGACACCACGGCACTCAACCAAGGGTGGCAAAGTAAGACTCTGTCTCAAAAAAAAAAAAAAGATAACTAGTATCCCAATAATGATACAAGCCCTATATTAGGAAATAAGCAAGATAATCAGGTTAGGGGAGAGAGAGAAAGAGTACAGTTAAGAGCATGTGGAATAAGTTTGAGATGTCTGTTGGATATTCAAGTGAAAAAGTCCAGTAAACAATGGGACATATAAGTCTGGTTTTCAGAACAGAAATTTGGGCCAGAGATATACACTTGAGACATAATGACATGTAAATAGTAACTGAAACTATGGAAGTGAGTGAGTCTACATAGGGCTTAATGATAGAAGATAAGGAATTCCAATATTAAAGGGTCAAACAGAGGAGAAGGCTAAGGAAGAGAATGCACTCACCTAAGTTTTAGAGTAGAAGGTGAGAAATGACAATATTGAAGGGGCAAATATATGGTAAGGCAAATAAACTAAGAAGCAGGTAGAAGGAAAATCAGGAGGGTTAGGTTAACATCATAGATGACAAAGGAAAAGAATGTTTGAGAAGTTTGAGAAGCTCAAATTGGAACACAATCTACCAATTACAACTAATTTCACAAGAAGTGTCACGTTGCATGTCCTTAGCTCCAGGATATGCCTGACATTCCCCAGAACTTCTTCAGTAAAAGGTTTTCCCATAGTAGAAAGAGGATAGGAGGGCACCTAAGCCTGATAGTTGTCAAAATTCAGTCACTAGTGTAAAGGAGTGCCAGTCTACATCTGAGCACTCAGTATCCAAGCCCTTCCCCTCTTAATCTTGGCCCTCTCAGACCTCATTTCTTGCCCCTTGGAGCTTCCTTAACTATCTCTGCACTGCCTCCTCTGGGGTCCCATGGATCTCTCTCTGCACAATTCATTTAACAATCAATCACGGAGGGCTCCATGACAACACTTCCATAGTAAACTTCGGCTCTTATTGAAACTCTCGTTAGCTTCTCGAGCGTGTTAGATCTCCCAACTAACCCCCAAAAGGAAGGAGAGTCTTAGTCACAGTTGGCACAGAGCCCACTCAATCAGGCCTGATTACCCTCAGATCCCCCCATGGGAACAGACCCCGAGGATCAAAACGGCTCTGAGAGGTCTCCGACCTTTGTTACTTCAAAGGCCAGACTGAAGGCGACAGGACTGCAGCAGCTAGATCCATCCGAAGGGCGGGGCCAAGAGCCCGCTCTTGCCCTTCTCCAGATAGGGACCACCAGACCAGACCTCTCACCTTCCGCGAGCCGCGCGTCCCGCCCGGCCCGTACACCCAGCGCTCTAGCTCCTCCACTCGGGCCTGCAGCCGCTGCACATCAGTCAGAGCCGCCATGGTTCCTACCCACCCACCTCAGCCGAGAACAACCAGAAGGCGGGACATCCGTCCAAGCAGGATGGCCGACCAATCCAGGTGCAGGGGCGGCATTTTATGCAGGAAGTGACGCCACGATTCAGTCCTTCAGACCCGGAAGAGTCTGCTCCAGTCTGGCGAAAGGTGTCAAAAACTGGTCACCTTGGCAACAGCTGTCCGTTCTGGCCCTTCCCTGGCTTCCATCGCCTGGTTGTGAAGATGACCTTTGCCTTCGGGTATCAAAGAGGTTTCCTCACGCTATTCCCTGAATTTGCGCGTAACAATGCATTTACTATTCCAGGATAGGTCCAATTCCCATAGACCGTAGGAGACTCTGAGTTACCATAAACTTTTGGCGTCTTCTAGGTCCAAGAAATTAAGTGACTCACGCAAGGCCACCGAGCACTATTGTGATAGAATTGTCACCATATAGGACTTGAACTCAACCAGTCTTATTGAAGATGGAGCCCTTCTATTCTCGGGGTGCTTTCCCTATACCTCCTTCCCCTGGCCCAGTGCAGCCAGTGTGCTTTATATCATTCTTCCCCACCTCCCAGACCCAAGCACGAAGAGGAGGCATTGGAAAGGGAGGGATCACAACTTTATTGTCCAGATGTGACCTGACGGATGTCTCCTTCAAGAGACCCCAACCCAGCCTTTCATCTGGCTCCTGAAGAGAAGCAGGGCTGACAAAAGGGTGGGGCCCTAGAAATAACATTGACCCAGGAAGCACCTGAGGAGATGACTGGGGATACTGGGGAAAGAACTTTTTGGTAGATGCTGCTGGAATTGGTCAGGGAGGAGGTGCCCTCCCTTTACAATGAGGTAGATGTAACATTAAAAGAATATTTGGCTTCAAGTCCAGATGACATGGGGAGGGTGGAGTTTACCTCCCAAGGCTGGGTCCCAGACTGGACAACCTAAAAGAATCAAGGTAGGGAGTCTTCTCTCCCCCTCAGCAATAGGACTGGGACTCTTAGTTATGATTAGGAGGTTTTAGGACAAGGTGCTGGAAGGGGGCCCTATAGAGGATTGGGACGCAGGGTTGGTTGGGCCCTGAGAAGCTGGCATAGGCTGTCGGCGGGCAAAGAGGACACCTGGCAAAGGGATGAGGAGATGATAGAGGGTAAACAGAAGGGGGTAAGGGATGGAAACAGAAGAGGGGAACAAAAGTAAGTGTCTTGATTGCAGAACACCACACACATCTGTCTGCCACAAACCAATCAGTGAGAGACTCCTATGCTAATGTAGATACAGGTAAACCAAAATATTTACACGAATACATAAGCCCATGACAAGGCAGACATCCCATGGTACCCATTCCAGGGAGGTCATGCCTTGGAGTGCATGCCATACAGGCACCCCCTATAATCCATGCCAGTGTAGCAATCCCCTGAACCCCATGTTACCCATGCAAATTTGGATAACCCTGAACCTTATGCTAGTAGAGAAAGTTTAAAATCGCCATGCCAATCTAAATATCCCTGGCTCCATGCCAGTGTAGACAGCCTATAGTACCCATACCTGTGTAGACCACCCCGTTGATCTCTAGGGCCATGTTGATACTGCTGATGCCACTGCCTGCCAGATTGAGAGGCCCATCCAGTTGCTCTTCTGTCCAGGAGGAGTCATGTTTTAGGGAATTAGACTTCAGACTTAGAAGTGACCCCCTCCATCCCTGTAGACAGCTCCCATTCCACTATAGCCCCTACAGTTGTCTATAGAGGGATAAGTCTGCCCCACCCCAACACTTATCAGTTTGTTGGGTCTATCCTCCCTCAGTGTACAAGCCTGAAGCCCCTTCACAACAAGCCCTTCCTCACCCCTCAGGGAAACCTTGCCATGGGGCAGAAAACTTGGGGGCATGCCAGGTCGAGGTGGGTCCATAGGCCCCATCAGCACAGCCCTCTTCTCTGGGGGTTCCTCTGGTGCCAACTTCTCCCTTGTAGGTCCCAAGGTCAGGCCCACAGGCAGTGCCAGGTGAGGGGTTGGAATTCCACTCTCCTCTAGAAGAACAGGTCATTCAGCTCTCCTGGCCCAACCAAGCCATCTCTGCACATGGCTATCCCTCAGCCCTGGGACCAGAGAGTTCACCCAAGCTAACACGCCAATCTCTTCTTCATTCAATCCTCTTCCCATCTAGAGCCAGGCTGAGGCTCTAGATGGGAACCAATGTATATGCGTAGGTTAGTCCAAGAGAATTTGGAGAATTTTTGTGGTTGTTCCTTGCTTGTCAAATAATCCGGGTCACAGGAGGGACAAACCACATGCACATAGGAGCCCTGGGTGGACAGGTGTGGAATGGGGAGCTGTTGTGATTAAAGAACCTTTTCCTGAGCTTCAGTCCCACACTGCAGTAACAGAGCTCTCAAGGCTTTTCTTTGTTTTGTTTTAGAACAGGGTCTCATTCTGTCACCCAGGCTAGAGTGCAGTAGCGACATCATAGTTCACTGTAGCCTCAAACTCCAGGGCTCAAGCGATCAACCTTACCTCACTCTCCCAAACAGTTGTGACTACAGGTGGGCTGCCCCATACCCGGCCAATTTTCTATATTTTGTAGAGACAGGGTTTCGCTTTTGTTCAGGCTGGTCTCGAAAGTGCTTCCCCAAGTGACGGGCCTCTCTAAGCTTTATTGACCCCAAGCCTCAGGATTTCTAAACCTTAGGAACTCCCAAACTCAGAGCCTTGTCTATTCCTACTGCTAGCCTTGACCTCCTACTACTCCCACACTTCAATGCCTTCCAGACTTCAGAGTCCCCATATTTTAATGTTTCCTATATCTCAGCGCCCGACTGGACCTCAAGAGTTCCAAACCTCTGCCCTTACCCCTTCTCACCTTTCTTGATAGGGTTGGGGCTGAGTTGGGCGCAAGCGTGCGTTGGTAGGCCAGAGGCGGAGCCTTGGGCGGAGCCTGGACCGGGCGGGGGCGCAGGAGGGGCGGGGCCCGGACCCAAAACTGGCCCTTGAGTGCCGCGAGAGAGGGGCCCGGCCAAGCCAAAGAGTGGAGCAGCTGTGTAAGCCTGGCGACGGCCCTCGCGCCGATTGCTGTCGATGGCTGCTTGGAGTTCCCCCGGGGAGCTGAGCGCCCGCGTTTCACACTCGTACGGGTACAGGTACTTCATGTACCTAGGAGAGGACAGACAGTTTGTGGGTGTGGGTGTGTGTGCGTGGGACGCTGGGCCCATCTAGTCAAGTTCCACGCCCGGATGCCCTTCCCAGGGCCCTCCACATCTCGCCCCTGCCCCACCCCCGCGCGCTTTCCTTTCCGCTCCAGGTCCTGGCCTCACTGTGTGCGTAGAGTGAAGGCTGCCGAGGTGATGGTGGTGGGCAGGCTGAGGCCGCGTGTGACCTCCCGCCACACTTTGCGGTTGATGACCTCCACCAGGCCACCCTTAGCGGTCACCAAGCGAAACAGCGCGTATAGGTCCAGCACCTGCTTCGCCATGATGGGCACGCGGTTCACTGGCGTCCCTAGTGGAAATGGGGCAGAGAGGACACCAAGACTAAGACATTGTGGTCATCCCCAGGGATTGAAGGATTTGGTCTCCTGCATGAGACAGGCCTGGTTACAGGGCAGAACTCCCGGAGAGGGAAGGAAAGAGAGAGATGGGGAAGCAGGATTATGGTCAGAGCCCCCAGACCCCCAGGGCCTCCATTTTAGCGGGAAGAACAGAAGACAGGAGTGGGCAAATTTCCTTAAAGGGCCAGATGGTTAATATTTTAGTTTTTGTGGGCCAAACGATCACTCTCACAACTACCCAGGTCTGCCATTGTTGCCTGAAAGCAGTCATAGAGGATATTCACTGTAATAGTTATGGCTGTGTTCCAATACAACTTTACCGACTGAAATTCGAATTTCACACGTCTGGAAATGCTATTTGTCTTTTATTTTTTTCTCCTAACTATTTAAACGAGTAAAACCATTCTTATCTCGCAAGCGGCTGCGTTTGGCCCTCTAGCTTTGCTGTCCCTTGGGGGTGACCACCGTAGGAAGGACTTCCACACAGTGCTGAAGGGCCAGACTGCCCCAGGGAGCAACCCTCGGATGGCTACCTGAGCTCAGGAATGGCGGGCAAGAGAAGAATCAGCTCCCACCTCACTGGCCGACTCCGCAGCCCGCACAACCCCCGTTTGCCAGTCCTGACAAAGGGGCCTGTCTGCGCTGACCGATGGGCCCCAGTTAATTCCTTACCGATCCCGTCCCTTTCGGCCGCCGCCTTTGGACCCGAACAATTAGCTGCGGCCTGATTAATGGGGGGAAATTATCGTCCCCGCGGGACCTCCTCCCCCCCCCACCCCCGCAGCTAGAGCAGAGAGAAGCAGGGACCAAGGGAAACAGAGTTGGGGCGGGGGTGGGGGGGAATCGACACAGTAGATAATGCAGGGATCGGTTCACAGCGCTCCCTGACCCCCACTGGAGGGAAAGCCTTGAGGAAGAGCCAAAGAGGAGACACTGGCACCAGAATGCCTGGGCCTTTCTGGGTGACAAGAGAACTCTGGGCCCACCAAAAGGTCACTGGGAAGGAAGGGACCTGAAAAAGACGCTGAGCCTAGGGTGAGTGCCAGGGGACTTGGGCCAGCAGCTGCACTAAGGAAGGGAGGGGACAGTGCAGCCAGTTAATTAGCAGCTTATCAGGCTGTGCTAGGAGTGAGTTAATTAGCTTTGTAGAGAGAGATAATGAGTCAGTGTTCAGTCCCATGAATCTGGGGAGAAGCTGAAGTGATGGACTGTCTCCCACTGTGATGCCCTCCTGGGCCCTTCCTGCATTCTCTTCCAGCTCTCTGAATTTCCTGCAAAGGAATTCCTGGTCCTCTGCAGCCCCAACTCACATAATCCCCAGCCCAGCCTTTGGGAAGTTCTTCCTTCAATCTAACCCCTAGTCTTTCCTGCTGTAGAGCACATGTGGTATCCCCGGCCTGAAGCAAGGGGAAAATGAGGAGAGCCAAGGCTGGCGAAATCCCTCCATAGAGAACCAAGGCATTCACAGCCCTCTAGTCATGAGACCCTCCCACTCCAGGCCAGCCCCCCAACAGTTCCTCCTCCTACCATCCCAATTGATCCCACACTCATTAACCTGCCAGTGGGCTGGCCACTAATTAATCCTAGGGTGGAGGAGGGGGGCAGGGTCAGAGGTTAAAGACGCTATTGAGGGCCCAGAGGACAGGTGCTGCCAAACTCAGACCTCTTCATAGAGAACCCAAGCTAGTTTCTTCAAACCTGATAAGGGGCAGCAATTCTAGGACCCTTTACCCACATCACCCCACTCACCCCTCTTTTGCATGAAGCTAAACAGGTCATCCAGAAATTCCTTCCTCTTGGGGTCTGCATCGAGCTCATACAGCTGGGGAAGAATCAGAGTTATTCTCCAGTTCCACTGACTACCTTTCTCCCCAGACCCCAATTCAGATTGTATCCTGAACAAGAGTCCCTAACTGAAGGGGTGGGTAGGGTTCGAATGTAGCATTAAGTTCTCTCCCCCTGAGGGCAGTTAGGGGTTCCTTTTTCTAATACATACAAAGATGGGTACTGGCTGGGGGTGCCCTGGGTAGCTCAAACTGTCCCTCTAGGCCAGGGAGTAGGGGCAGAGAGGAAGCAAGAAGGAGCTGGGGAGGCTCAGCCTGTTCTCCAGGATTGGGTCTTTGCCCACCCAGAGGGAACATTCAGAGTCCAAGGACGGAAGCCAGGCTGGGGTAGTGTTCCACACAGAAAAGACTAACATATATTGGAAGCTCACATTCATTAGTGCAAGGGTTTCATTCTGCTCACATCCCTGTGTGCCAAGGCTTGGCGAGGGGCAGAGATGCTTCCAACCCATCCTTCAGGCAGGGTGGATAAACTCCTGGATTGACATCTGGGACCCTGAGCCCATCTTCTGGTCTGATCTCCCACAGGCAGTTATCCTGCCTATCATAGGACTTGCCAGAGAGACACTGGCCCCATGCCATGCAGGATCTGTGGGGGTCAGGACTTGAAGGGCCCATGAGTCATCCTAGCAGTCACCTGGAGACCCACCTCCTATATCTGCTCCCAAATACCACTGAAGAGGAACAATCCCTGGAGTCATTGACCCTGAGTAACAGTCCCTCAGTAATACTGATAGGTAACACTCCATTCCTCAATATGAACCCTCATAGTAAAAAAAGAACAAAATCCCCTCAAAACAATGAATAGCAAACCCCAGAGATGCACCTTTAGAGCAACACTCTCACAAAAATAATGAGCCCTAAGTTTCAGATGGATACCCACAAATAATACACTCTCCAAGTAATAACCCTCAGAATTATACCCATATAGCCAGGAGAAACAGATTCTAGAGCCATATTTTCAGAATAAAAGAGCCCCGAGTAACACTCCCAGTTTTACAATAATACCATGAAGTACTAGCCACAAATTAATACTTCTGGAAAATATCCATGACCAACACCCTACAAATTAACACCACCAGGACAGCACACCTGGAGTCACAGCCTGACATAATACTTCTGGAGTGACAGCCTTGAATAGTGTCCTTAGAATAACACCCAGAAGGAATCCTCAGGAAGAAAGAACCTCAGATTAAGACCCTGTCAGTAAGGTCTTGTCATTTCCAGTTGCAGAGGAGCCCTTTAGTCATACTGCGGCTGTAGTGTCACAGGCTAGGAACTGTCATCTATGTAACTCAGGCCAGGGAGAAGATTGGGGGGGGAGTGTTGCAGTGTGACAGGAAAGAGAGAAGGGGTGTACCAGCCAGTCAAGGGAGTGGCAACCTCAATTCTCCTTCCAAAGACAAAAGTAGACAGCCCAGGGCACACCCACTGGTTGGCACTGGACTCCTCAGTCCCCAGATCCTCCTCCTTCAAAGGCCCCTACACCCCTCCCGCCTTTTCTTCCAGCCCCACCAATGGCTTCCAGTCTGTCATTCTTCATGTTTCTGGGCATCTCCTGCACTTCTTAGTGTGTCCCTTTGCAATACTTTCCGTGTACCTAGGTGTCTGTCACTAACTGCCAGTCTTCCCACCATCTCTCTCTAGGTCTCTGTGTCTATGTGTCTCCATCTTACTAGGATAGTGGGGGTGGGTAGGCTACTAAGCACCTGGCTCTGCTTTTGCCCAGAGGGGAGAAAAGAGGGAGGGCCTGAAATTGAGGGGATCCTACCTGCTTGAACTGCTCTTCATAGGTCCATTCATGGGGATGGGGTCCAGGCGCCTGGCTAGAAGGGGAGCTGGGGTGATGGCTCTCCTTAGCTGCCTCCTCCTCCTCTGGCCCAGCTTCCTCCCCCTCTTCATCTTCTTCAGCATCCTCCTCTTCCTCAGCTCCAACATTCCCCAAGGCCCCCTCTGGGGCCTGTAGGGTTCTGGGGCCATATAGAGGAGGCCTTGGTGGCAGCTGAGGTCGTGGAGGGGCAAATGGCCCCACCCCTTGGGCCAGTCGAGCAGCCTGCTGTCTCTGCAGGGCCTCCATTACTGCTTCCAGGCGCAGTCCCCCAGCAGGTGGGGGCCCTGAGGAAAGGGCTGCCTGTAGGGAAGGGAATTATGGGTGCTGGGCTTTGCTGCTCCCACAACTCCCAACACAGGGGAAGTGGGCATGGATTTAGGGAGTGCTGAGAGTTATAAGGAAAGGGAGAAAGCTTTCACAGAGACTGACAGAGAGAGAGAGAGAGAGAGAGAGAGAGAGAGGAAGAAAGAGCAGGAGAGACAGAGACAGAGACAGACCCAGGGAATCAGAAATGGCCTTTGATGGAGGACAGGGAGAGATACCCATGGGATCAAAAATGACCACTGATAGAGGACAGGGGGAGACTGAGCAGATCAAAGGGGGTAACAGGGGCCAAGAGGCAGAGATGGGGGACAGATGAGAAGAGGAAGGGAAGAGGGGAGAGAGAGACAATGATTGGGAGAAATGGAGATAGAGATGGGATAGAACAACCAAGAGAAACAGAGGTGGGAAGAGACAGACTGAGAGGAACCAAGATAGAGACAGAGGTGGGGAAAGAAGAATTAATTGAAATATTTGGGACAGAGAGGGTAAGAGAGACAGAGGAGCAAGAAATAAATATTAAAGACCTAAGTGACAGGCAACCCATAGAGGGACAGAGACAGAGATAAGAGGTGGAAAGAGACAGGGAGATGGAGGTTAGGAGACACAGGGTAAGACTGCCGCAGCAGGAGACCCAGACAGAAAAGAGAGATTAGAAAGAGACAGCAAATGGAAGGGGACAGAAAGAGATGGGGACAGGGAAAAACAGAAGACAGGGGACAGAGAAGCAGAGGACAAGAACCAAGGAGTCACATAAGTAGAGGGCGGTGGGGTCAGAGGTGGGACCGGCAGGGGACCAGAAGGGTGAGAGGTGGTGGGATCTCGAAGACGGACTCTCTCCCCAGGACCGGGACAGCACTCACCTGCCTGGCGTGGCCCGCTGCCCCTGGCGTCTCCACGGCGCTGCCTATGCTCCACCTGCCTCCCAGGCGGCCCCTGCCTCGGTTTGATTCCCTGTGCGGGGTCCCCGCCCTGAGCTCCAGCAGCCTGGCCCTCCTCTGGCCACTATGCGCTCACTCGCAGCTGTTCTGGCTGCCGCCGTGGGGGCGGGACCCGAGCAGGGCAGGGAGGGCGGAGGTGCAGGGGAGAGGGCCGTATGGGCTCTACCTGCTCTCAGCCCCCCAACAGGTGTCTCCCACCTTCCTTACTGCCAGATTCAGGGGGGAGGAGGCGCTGGAGAGCTTCGGGGAATTGTGTGAAGGAGAGTGAAGCATCCAACTCCATGGACTGAGAACCAGAGCCCTGCCTAGGGCTCACACCCACACTCAGTACCCACACTCCCTCACACCCACACTCAGTACCATGCATTCACACACTAACAGCAGTGTTTACACACCAGCACACTTTGTCATAACGTCAGGCACACAGCTACCCAGTCTCACGCTGGTTACGTGCCAGTGGCTTGGGTAGGCAGTGATCATGACTGGAATCACTCCATGGGATACTGAGGTCAAGTGTATAAGGCAAGAACAGAAGCTTCTCCCCTTGCCCTGCCCACATGCTGCAGTTTGCCTATGTGCGTGCACATAGCAGTGGACCCACACCTGTGCATCACACACTCAGTGGTCTCTGAGCTAACTGCGGCAGGATATACTTACCACATGCAGATACACAGCCACACAGTTTTTATCTCTTTTGATACTGGAAATTTTCAAACATAGAAGAGTGAGCAATATAATGAAGCTCACAGGTATATTTCAACTGTCATCAGCATTTTGCCCTTCACAATTCTCTGCCCATGTGTGTCTGTATCTCTAGACACCCTCAGCAATCTGCTTTGGGCCTACCAAGCCTCCAACTATCCTGAGATGCTGTTCCTTATTTGAGGATCCTGAGTGGCAGGCCTCTGGAGATTTCTGCTCTAAGCAATCTGGACCCCACTTTGCTCAGGCATCCTCATACTTCCCCACTTTCTTCCTGTGCCCAAGGGGACCTATTTACCAAATGCATGAGGGGTACCCTGAGGTGATGCCAAGTGTGTTAGTGAACAGCAGGTGTCCGTGGCATGGGAATGAAACTGTCAAACCCCATGGCACCAGGAGCATCCTCTGACCTTATTACACTCAGTTAGACACACATGCCTCAGGGCTGTGATTCCTCTAGAACAGTATTTTTCAACTTTTAAAAAATTCATGGCATACTTGAATCTATGGTCAAACCTCTGCAGCACACTTAAATTATATTGATCAAAAAAAGAGTGAAAGGTGGGGGTGGCGCCTGTGGCTCAAAGGAGTAGGGCGCCACCCCCATATGCCAGAGGTGGCAGGTTCAAACCCAGTCCCGGCCAAAAACTGCAAAAAAAAAAAAAAAAAAAGAAAGAAAGAAAGAAAGAAAAAGAGTGAAAGGTGGCTCACACCTATAATCCTAGCACTCTGGGAGGCTGAGGTGGGTAGATTGCTTGAGCTCAGAAGTTCAAGACCAGGCTAAGCAAGAGTGAGACCCTGTCTCTATTAAAACTAGCCGAGTCTCGGTGCCTGTAGCACAGTGGTTATGGCATCGGGCACATACACTGAGACTGGTGGGTTTGAACCTGGCCCTGGGCCAGCTAAAATAACAATGACAACTGCAATAAAAATAGCCTGGTGTTGTTGTGGGCACCTGTAGCTCTAGCTACTTGGGAGGCTGAGGCAAGAGAATCGCTTAAACCCAAGAGTTTGAGGTTGCTGTGAGATGTGACGCCCTAGCACTCTACCCGGGGAGATATAGTGAGACTCTGTCAAAAAAAAAAAAAAAAAAGAAGGAAGGAAAGAAAAATTAGCTGGGTGGGCAGTGCCTGTGGCTCAGTGGGTAGGGCGCTGGCCCCGTATACCAAGGGTGGCAGGTTCAAACCCAGCCCCAGCCAAACTGCAACAAAAAATAGCTGGGTGTTGTG